GACTCGCACGCGCTGTCGGAGCTCGGTACGTGCGCGCTGCGGCGGGGGGACGCGCACGGCTTGTCCCGGGTTGCGCCGAGGGGATCTCGGGGCCCGCCTGCGCCTCCTGCCCGCGCGGGGCCCCCGCACCTCCCTCCTATCCCGGGAGAGCGGGATGGCCACGCAGCCCCCGTCACGCTGTTCCCCCTCCGCTTCCCTTCCAGTGTACTCTGCTTCCAACCTCCTGGTGCTGCTGAACGACTGGATCCTCCGAAAGGAGCTGCAGCGGAGCCTGCCCGTGGTACGGCTGGTGTGTGCGCGGGGAAGGTCTCGGGAGACGCGGGCTGTTTCCCTGCGGAAGCTGCTCTTAGGGGGTGTCTGCAGGAACTACTGGGGTGTTGCTGTGGCTGCACTTTGGTGTGGAGCTCGCGAAAGCTGCGGGCTCTGTCTGAGTGTACATTGCACAGCAACCAGGTCCCGCAGCTCTTGGCATGACTGGACTCTGGCAGAGTGCTCCCTGGACCATTGAAATCTGTAGAGATCAGGCCCTGACCCATGCCAAAGTTCTGCTGTTTTATTGTTGTTGGCTGGTAGCTGTGTAGGTGTTTTTGTTTTTTTGTTTTGTTTTTGAGGAGTTCAAATATCAGCAGATGAACATTGCTTCTCGTGAGCAGTGGTGGTGCAGCACTGGAGCTCTGATACAGTCTCGCAGAGTCCAATAGTCCCTTTACATAGTTCTGCCTGGGGTATTGAGTAAAGCAAACATTTACGTGTGCTGGTTCTGTTTTCCAAGAGCCCCACGCCTGCTTGCAGCGCTTGGTATGCCTTTTGGGGAAGGAGGAGGAGGAGGTTTTTGGGGAGGCCTCTCGTAGCAAGCCTGCCTGTCCTGTGGGTTTGGGTGCGGCAGGCACAGGCCAGCCTGGGGACCCAACTGGAAGGGCAGGTATGTGGCAAGCCAAAAAATCCCCAGGAGGTTTGCTTCCCTGGCTCCCAGAGGCTGAACATGAGAGGAAGTGAATTTCAGTGAGAGTCATCTTAGCTGCTGCTTTTCAAGTAATACAAGTTAAATCCTGTGGCTGACAGCAGCAGCAAGCTTTCCTTCGGGGAGCCTGGGCCCAGGCTGGAAGAATCCCACTTTCTTGGGGCTGATGCTTGGGACGCAGGCTGAGGCTGTGAACCTGTACTTAGCTGGCTGTCGCTGCAGGCTTTGGTACTCCCTCATCAGCTGTAAGCAGGGAGGAGGCTCAGCACACATCCCAATTCTAGAGCAGCAGAAAGGAGTTTTGCATGGTTGTTCAGGCACTGTGCCACAGCCCAGGAGGTTACAATGCTGTTTAAGCTGGAGTAAAAAGCAATGCACCAGGCAGCTGTGACGTGCTCCATTTCTGGGATAGCAGCTCTGGGTGACGTTGGGATTTCTGGGTCTCGTGCTGCTTGGAGGCAGAGTAGTGGGGTTGCTCATAGACCATGACCCCAGGGGACGCCCCCCTTCTGACTCCCAGTCTGCGGTTTCCAAAGCCACTGGGCGTTTAGTTCTGAGAGTCCCACCAAACTGGACTGGCTTCCATCCCACTTAACTCTCAATCAGGACTTGCCTCCTCTCCCCCTTCCTTCCCCTCTGTGTTTTGCAGTCACTGCCCCAGCAGAAGCTGCTGACCTGGCTGAGCGTGCTAGAATGTGTGGAGGTCTTTGCAGAGATGGGGACAGCCAGGGCGTGGGGGGAGATGGGCCGATGGACCATCATTGTCCTCATCCAGCTGGCTAAGTAAGTGCTGCACATGGAGGGGAAGGGGCTGCATGAGCTTGGAAAGGGGATCTGGAGAGGGCTTGGCAGGACCTGGGCAAGAGCCCAAGCAGGGCTGAGCTGCCCGTCCCTGAGGCTGGGGGAATTTGGAGTCCCACAATGTGCTGGACACTGCGCCATGGAAGGGGCCCTTGCCAGTGGTTATTGGGAGCAGACCTGAGTGTTCTCTCCCTCTGGGGCAGTCACCTCGTGAGCGCAGCAGGAAGAGGGCTCCGCAGCCTGCTACTGAAGCCTTCCCCATGTGTCTGCCCGCAGAGCCATCCTGCGTCTCCTGCTGTTGCTGTGGTACAAAGCTGGCATCCAGACATCTCCTCCCATTGTGCCGCTGAACAGAGAGCAGCAGCAGCCTCTCCACCCAGAAGGTGAGCCCCGACTGCTGGCACTGGCCTGGCACCCCCTTTGTCCTGCTAGGGTTTCCTTGTGGGAGCAGTGACTGGGGCAGCCCCGGGAGCTGTGAAGCGCAGCGTGCCGAGCTGAGTTGTGCTTTACGTGCTCCACAGAGTGTGCCCTTCTGCTTCTCAGGGTTAGCTAGTGACAGTGTTGCCTTACGGTCTGGAGAGAGCGGGCAGAGGATAATGGGTCTAAGCCCAAAACAACAGGCTGGGCTCCAAGTCAAGCTGTGTCTAGCAGCCTGAGGATGAAAAAGGCGCTCCTAGGCCTGAGCAATGTTGTGAGGATTTACTCATGATGATTGACCTCTGATTGCACTGCTTAGGGTGTTAGCCCCTTCAGGACATGCCAGTCTGCTCTCCTTGAAGCATTCAGTCCAGGCAGCATGTCCGCTCCTGAGAAACCTGGAATGAGGGTGTTGTCCTAATGGAGGAAGTTTCTATCTGGTGATACAGGGAAGGGTGTTGCCTTCTGCAGTAAGATGCCATCCTCTGAAGTCAGATCCCTGTGGCCATTTTCTCCTGCAGACACGGAAGGCAGTTCCTCAGGGAAGGATCAGACCTATGTGGGCAAGCGTTCCAGCCGTGTTGTGCGGTCTCTACAGAGCAGTAAGTGGTTGTGCCTGTTGAGGCTGTCTTTTGATTTCTGTGTGAGCTGTTTCTTCTCTGTGTCCTTTATACCATGGTCTGGGCATGCAATCAGTAAAGAGCAGAACCTGATCGACTTGTATGGGGACATATCCAGCCTGTCACTGAGCTCCGCTTGGGGAGCATCAGAGCAATGAATCCAGACACATTTTGCAGCACTCAGAATTGACCTGTGCAATGAAGATAAGTCTTCAGTGTGACTAAGCTTTGAGGAGCATGGATCTTAGCATCTCTCCCTGCTCTGTCCCTTCTGGGGACAAATTCTGTGTGTGTTGGCCAGCTGCAATAGCTTGGGAAACATGGGGAGGCTGCAACCTGGCTGTGTCTGCAGCAATTCCAACTCTCCCATTTCAGCCCTTCACAGCGCAGGAAGCAGCAGGGTGGTAGTACAGGGAACATTGTAGAAAGGTACTGTCTGCACTAGTGACCTAATCTGCCTGTTTTCAGCCCCATCCCTCCAGTCCAGGCACTGGGGGTCCCCCCAGCAGAGAGAAGAGTCCCAGAGCCGAAGAGCAGATGAGATGAACCAACCTCCCACCCCGCTGGGCCTCCAAGAAACCATCGCAGAATCTATCTACATTGCCCGGCCCCTACTCCACTGTATCCTGCCCTGGCTGTGCGCGGGCACACACTGCAGCCCACGTGCCGGCAGAGGGTGCTGCAGGATCAGCCACCACACCGAGTCCACGGGAGTGCAGCACTGTGCTCTTCGCTGCTCTTGGAGCACTGGTGCTCCCCTGCTTATGCGGGGGCCTTGGGACCCCTCCCTTGTCCTTCACCTTTGTGGCCAGCATGAGCCACTTAAGCTTTGCGCCCCTTCCCTGGGGCCCTCTGGTACTGCCTTGGAGTATATTCTTGGCTCTGTGAAGCTTTGCTGGTTCTCAGAGGATCGTTCATCCATGTTGCTTTTGTTAGGTGTGCTTGGTTCTTTCCATTCCTTGACTGTTTCTTCACAGTACTGAGTTTAGGAGTGTGGGGCCAGAAATCGTGGAAGCCATGGCTCCTGTCAGCAATCCTGGACATCTCAAGGTCACTCTGAGGTTCCTCTGTGAATGTTTTGGGGTTGGGGATGTCTGACCATCCAGTTTTCCTCTGCTTCCCATCCCAGGGCAGGCCCTTCTGACAGAATTATGCACAGGGGCTGGATCTGTTTTTTAGCTGGGTGATTGAAACTTCTAGATGTCCTCTGCAGTGCTTCTTGTGGTTCTTTGTATCTGAAAGAGCTGGAACAGTCTGCTGTACATGGAACTTAGAGAGGAGGGCATTTGGAGACTCACTTTCCCTTCCCTGTTGGCTGCTGTTGTCAATAGTTAGCTTTCTGCCCTTCCTCCAGTCTGAGCTTGCTGAGTGATCTGAAAGATTTGAACAGACGAGAGCGTGCGGAGCTGAGGCGGCGAACCATCCTCCTGCTGTACTACCTGCTGAGATCTCCCTTCTATGACCGATACTCAGAGTAAGGGGCTCCTGAGGAGCTTTTGCTGAAAACCTTGCTGAAGAGAGGTAGCATCGGTGCACTGGGTGGGTAAATTTGAAGATGTCTGACTGCCTGTGATCAGAGCAGTATGAGCAAAGATGATAGAGTATGCTCAGGTTAAACCGAAGATTAAAGACTCATGATCTTGCAGTTTTGAGGTGGGAGGGATAACTAAAGATGCAAGGAAGACAAATCAGCTTCACAAAAATAAAGTGCAGCTGCTGTGGTGCATTAAATAGTTGGGACTAGGAATGTCCCACTCGACTTGTTCATTCTTTCTCCCTTTACAGGGGCAGGATTCTCTTCCTTCTGCGCTTGTTGGCTGATTATGTGCCTGGACTTGGCTTTGTCACACGTAAGTGCGCCTAGTTGCCGTATTATCTATTTCTTATGGGTAGGAAAATATCATGGGATTTGGGCAGAGCTGTTTGTCAGTCTGTAACCTGGGAAAGGAATGAGGGGATCCCTGTATGGTTAGCAGCAGTGCGCCTTGTATTAATGCTTATGATGGCTTAAACTGCAACAGAAAGGGATTACCTACTTCCTACCCATTAGGCAACTACACTCAAGCAAAATAGTAGATGTCCAAATACCCTCAGAGCTGTATCTTCCACCTAGGCCTGACTGCCTGGGCTCCCTTTCTCCAGCTTGACTAATACACTAGAGCCTTGCTGTTTGTAGCACCCGTTTTTGAACTCCTTTCCTTGATCTCGAGTCTGTAGTGCAGACCTGAGGGGGAGGCAGCGGCCAAGAGGTATTAGCCCAGGAAGAAGCTGCTTGTAAATCAAAGGGCTGAACCAGGTCTTTTCTTCCTGAGTAACTCACCTGAATGGATCCCCTTGCCATGGGCTAGAATTTCACCTCCCCCTCTTCCCTATTGATATGAAGCCTTTCCTGGAATGGTTCATGGCAATGATATGGTACTGAGGGACTGGCCTGTTCTACAGGAAAGCTGGCTAGCTCAGGAACCCCTTCCCCCAGCTACTGAGGGAGCCTTTGCAGCTGGCATTAGGCTGTGTGCTATCATAAGCATTTCTGCTGTGCTGCAGTGTTGCTTCTGTGGCTGCACCTGCTCCTTATTGCTGACTTGTCTTCCTCTTTCCTGTGCCACAGCTGTGGCCTGACTCACTGCACACAGGTTTTTTCTTTGCACATTAGACCCCCCACCCCTCAACACTGGACTTTAGGCAGGTCAGTACTGAGGAGATGGTGTCCCATGATTGTGTTGTGCCCTACTTTTTTTTTAATTCTCCTCTGATCTAATCTCTGGTGGCACATTCCGAAGATGCCTCTCATTGTGGTGGAGGAAAAAAAGCCATTTTATTTTTGTTTTTTCTTGATATAATGGAGAGATGGGTTGACATGTATCATAAGGGCAACAGGAAATCTATCCCAGAGATAGACCCTCAGGTTCTTGCCTTTTCATTTGCCTGTTCCCTCTGTTCTCTTGTTTCAGGGCCGCTGATGGATTACTTGCCTGCTTGGCAGAAAATTTACTTCTATAATTGGGGCTGATGAGAAGATGACCCTTCTTTGCTAAGATCATGGTTGGACATCTCTAAGGAGCACAATCAAGCTGGGGAAAGGGTGTTGATCTCGTCTAATTTTCAGTTAAACCATCAATGAGAAGCTCCTATTCTGCAGGGTGGGAGGGAGGTGTATGTAATTTTTTAACAGATCTAGCTGTGAATGATGGACACTGTATGAAGAGATCTTGGCCATTTTTTTCTCCTGGACAGTGCTGTGGCTGCAGTGATGGTGGTGGGACAACCTTTTTTTTTTTTTTTTTTTTTAAGCACTTAATTTTTTTCTTCTTTTGTAAGGCTGCACTATAATAAAGCTAGGCAGCACAGTGTTTTTTGGAGGTCTCTGTCTCCTGCCTCATTGTGCCTAGGCTAGAACTGCAGCCTCTTTGCATTGACCATGCCTCGCCATTCTGCTTGGAGAAGACTTTTCTGTAAAATAAACTGACTGAACTGAAAGAACTGAGCTGAAAGACCTCACCTTCCTAAGGCCTCGTCCTTGCCTGAAAGGGATACTCTTGTGTCTTCTGCTACTGGATGCCAGCAAGTCTCTTGATCAGCAACAACAGCATTTGTTATAGTCTACTCTAGGAGCAGCTATCTATAATTCTAATGTCCCTTAAAGTCCTTTCCCTCTACCTCTGGCTCTGAGGGGCAGGGCTGCACCACTTGGCTCGTGAGCACCATATCTGCAGCTGCTGATGCCTGGGTCAGTCTGCTGTTTCCTGGGGCGCCCCTATGGTACAGATAGCTGTGGTTTGTAGGATATTTTGCCTAAGGGGTCATCTCTCTCCTCCACCCTGCTTTTTCAGGGGCAGTGGAGACAGCTGTTTGTCCAGTCAGCTGCTGGGGAGGCTCCAGTAGCACGGGGCAGTGCTGCAGCAGCCTGCCTCCTGCCACTGCTATTCACAGCAGCGAGGGCCAGCCTGCAGTGCCTCCTGTGTCCCAACAGCAGGTACCCTCAAGGGGTGACACAAATGCCTGAGCATGAGGCGGCAATAAGAGCCTCCGAGGCTGCAGGGAGCGCAGCCTTTCTGCCTCAGTGTCTGGAGGAAGGACCGTGCAACCCCCCACAGCTCCTGGGCCAGCTGACCTTGGCTATGTGGAGGAGGCCCAGGGGGCAGGCAGTGCAGGGAGCTTGTGATAGTACCTCAGCCGGCAGCAGTAATGTGGCACCTGAGGGGCAAGCTTGGGATTGTGCTCCACGGAGGCCGTGGGCTTTATTAAAAGAGGGAGATGATGAAGATTGTAAAGCTGGGAAAGTGGGTGAAACCGGGGCGAGGGACCTGCAGCTCTGAGGGGGTTTGCTGGGAGGAGGTGGGGGGTGTTGTGGGGGTAGGGAGGTGGCAGTGGTGCTGCAGGTGACACCTGCTGAATGGATGGGCACGGGTGGGAAGGGCTGGGCACTGCCACCACGGTCCATGCTGCTTGGGGCCGGGCGCTGCCCCAGGGGAGGCTATTGGCACACGGGTTCGGTGAGGAGGCAGCAGAGGCCATGAGCTGCACTGGCTCCCAACGCCTGGCGCAGCGAGAGCAGACATCAAAGCTGTCACAGAAGGATGTGGCCAAGCTGTTGCTCGAGGCAGGCGGCGTGTGGAAAGCAGCCAAGGACCAGAAACTTTGTACCAGCGGGGGCCCCAGCCG